ACACTTAATGGCTCACTTTTGTTGCGTCTCAAACCACTCCCTCTGGCATTTTGCCAGGCACCATCCAAACTTGTTTACAACTCTAACATTCCCCTGGCAAAATACCAGGTGTTATTTTGACTTGTTTACAGACCTTAACAGTAAAGTATACAAAAATTTTTGTAAAATACAAAAAAAAGACTAGGGATGTGGCTCAGTGGTTGAGTGACCCTGAGTTCAAGCCCCCATACAAAAATAAATAAATAAGTCTTGAAAAGAATGTATCCTGCAAGTATATATAGTGTGAAATATGCATTTCATTTACAGTGTCCAATAAATGGGAATTCAAGGTTTTAAGTCACTGTATTAATCTGGTATATATTTTTAAACTGGTATATATTTTTATTTTTAATGAAAGACACACAGTGAGTAAGCATGGGTGGAAAATCAGTGTGTGGGTAAAGAGTGAGGTCCAGGCTTCAGTAGCAGATAACAGGGAATGACACTTTATAAACACATGCCTGATGTATACAGACAGGATTTGATATAAAGGCTGTAAATACAACAAGTATTCAGTAAATACTTACTACCAACTAAAATGATTGCAAGCAAATTTTTTATTTTTTTCAATACTGGGGATTGAATCCAGGGGTACTATCCCTGTCCCCAGCCCTTTTCATGTTTTATTTTGAGACAGGGTTTCCTACCTTGCCCACGCTGGCTTTGAACTTGCAATCCACCTGCTACAACCTCTCCAGTTGCTGGGATTACAGGTGTGTGCCACCAAGCCCTCTTAAATGTGTTAAGCATTCTAAAATATCAGTCTCCTGTTACAGAGATTTGAATTGCTTGAGCTGTTACGAATTTTAAGGATTGTCATGTATTGTCCTGTAGCTTTTATTCACCTTGCACAAAGAATTCTATTTTCTGTTGTCTGAAACTTGACCTTAAGGTTCTGAGCATTCAATACTTGTATAGTGAGGTGAGCTAAAGTCAAACTTTATCAGGATGACTGGTTTTAGGACAAAGAATGCAACGTGGAGAAAGATGTATCATTTTTAAATGAGATTTCAATACAATGCTAATGTCGGGGTAGCTATGCACACACCTCAGTCCACACACCCTGCTCAGACAAGAGTAATATGAACCCAGCAGCCAGTGGAAACCAGAGACCTAGAATAGACTAGACACCCCTGGAGACAAAGGGCTGGAAAGAGTTTTCACTGTGGCATGTACAGACAGGTGGCAGTTTGTCAGGTCATAAATCTCTATTTTAAATAACCCCCTAATTATAGATTTACCTCTGCTGTGCCTGCTTTCAGGATGCATAAAGGCAAGAAACCTAAAAGGCCTCAAGTTATGCTTCCATTGCCAGAAGCCACTCGGTGGGAGGGCCCAGTCCTTTACCACCCAGGCTCAGTTCACAAGTACTAACCCAAGAACCATATCAGTATGTTTGCTTTTGATTATATGTCAACAGTGTCTCAGGCAGGTCAGTTTGCTGACATCCAATACCTGATTAGAGAG